GGGGTAATTGATGATGTTGAATTTTTGGCTTTATTTGTGGCCGACCGACCGATCGTTAGGCGCCCAGCGTAGGGGAGGTTGTCAACCGAAACGCCGAAAAACTTGAAAAATGTCGTTCCATTACAATGATTTTCTCACGAATTTTTTCTCCGCCCCTGATCGGCAGTGGAGGCCAACGGCGTGGCAATCGCACTGCAGAAGGAGACGGTCGATTGTGCGAAAGTAACAGTCACCGAGGCTATGACGAGGTGAGTGGATGTTTTAGAGGGGCAGTGGCGCAGTTTATTAATAGATCGCTGTGAAGAGTAAAGTGCGAGTTCAGACAGCGCGGTCGGCATGAATTTTCTCTTATTAACTGCTAATTCCCTTGAGCAAGGAATTCACCTCAATCTGCTTCGGTGCAACCAGCCGAAAAAAGCATCAGGTCGTTGACCTGCGAATAATGGGGACAGCACGGTGCTTTGGTGCGGTCATGGCAACGCATGCGAGACATGCGGCCCTGCTGTCTGATGCGTACGTTTTACAGCTGCAGTTCCCTTTGACTCATCTGATGACTGACTGAAAAACAGCACAAGGTGCAAACCTATACTCGAACGTAAAAAATTCGTATCAACTGCTGGCTGGACCGACTGACCGGCCACGCGGCTGCGTTTCGTGACTCTGAGGCACGGCGCTCTCGGTTGACACTACACGAAGTTCAGTGCCATCGGGGGACGGGCGGCGGCGTTCTCACAACCCTTCACCTATAAAACTAGCAATCGTCACTCGACTGGTTTCTTTGCTTCCGGTCAGCGTCTCTCACCGACAGAAATCAAGCTATCCGTGACTTCTGCATCTTGATTGACCGGGAACTTAGGCCATGAATAAACGGCGATTTACTTAATCCGCATAGACAGCAAAGCGGGATCAATGTTGGCGCTCTGCAAGTTCGCAAAAAAAAATTCCTGTTTAAATGATGTCATTTATCCGTTAACGGATGGAAAGAAAAAATCTGAGACTCGTCAGAGTCTACGCTTTGGCAGAAGTTCGTTACATCACTTGCGATGGGTAGAGGTCATTTTTGGACATCCGGATGATCTTCAACCGATCGATTGAGCAAGTAATGCGTGTTTCGTCTTCCTTTCTAGAAGCATTCGCAAGAGGTGCCCCAACCATCGCATCTGTGATTTCTG